GTCCTACCTGGGATCGTCACTTACTGGAAACTGCGGGAGAACAACCGTTCTGCCGGAGCTTCATAGGCCAGCGCGACAGCACCGGGCACTGACTCCGGGCGGCCAGCGCCCCAAAGCCCATCGCCTGGGGGCGCAGTAGAGCTCGGAGCCGGCGCGGGGGCGCTTCCGGGAAGCGCGTGCGCCGACCGGAAACGCCCCACCGGGACTTAGAGCGAGGCGAAAAGAAGGGGCCCTCCGGCAGTCTTGGTGGTGGAGGCTTCCGGCAGTTGAGCTTTGCTGTCCCAGGATGTCACCTGCCCAAAGTGGCTCCTCAAACCCGAACCTAGATTCTGTAATAGATCCACTGCAGACGTGTGGACATGGTGGTGACTCCTCTCGCTGTGGCAACAGTTCTTTATTTCTTGGGGTTTAGCTTATTTTTATAGAGTCTTGAGAGTATACCTTTCCTTTAAAATGTCTAATATGAAATAATACAGAGAATCAGTGAACACCTCTGTACCAACCACCTAACTTTATATTTCCATACTTCTGACTTTAGTATTCTATGTTCATACACTCCCTGTGATCCCTGTGCAATCTCATCCACCCTCTTACCTTGAATTTAGTATCTCATTTCCATAAAAGCTTATACATGCTACAAGTATATGTTGTTACATAACATGTATAGTTTTTAGTTTTAAAATATAAATATTTTGTAACTTACTTTGTCATCCATAATTGTTTGTTAAATTTACCTATGTTGATTCATGTAGTTCTAGGTTTTTCCCCTTTAACTGCTATATGGTATTCCATTGAGGATTACACTGCAATTGATTCTCCTGCTAGTAATTTAAAGATTCCTGATTTTTGCCATCATAACATGAGCTAATGGACATTCTTTCACACAGCATTGTGGGTATATAGTAAGAATTTCTTAGGCTATATGTGTAGAAATTGAATGACAAGTTGGAAGGCTTTGCACAATTCATTTGATACTGCTAAATTTTTCTTTTGTGATTATACTAGCTTACCCTTCCACCAGCAGTGTATAACCTTTATTTAACATGCAGGACCACAGGGGTTCCTGATGGAGACCACTACAAAGCAGCTCTGAACAGGATTTAATATTAACCAATTAGCTTTTTGTGTTTACGTGTGAGTCTGTCCAAGGCCTAGGCTCCTTGTCTGGAGATGGGCAGTGGACTCATAGTAAGTGAACTTCTATGAGTCAATGGTCCCAGCAGAGGCCTGTAGTGGTCTATAAAGCCATGATGCCTCCAAGGGCAAGACAAAGCCACAGCTAGGGCTCCAACATCAATTAACTAGATAAAGACTGTAGCTGTAGGAATCTCACTCCTATAGTGAAGGCCTTCCTGGAGATAACATAGTTCTCCTAAATTAACAATGTATTACTTGGAGAAGTCCTGTAGAGGACTTTCAAGGTCCTTGAATGGTCCTGCTCAGATTTCCACCTTTCTTCAGTATTCCCTGCCTTTGTTTGATAACTAAATAAATACGGGCCGCTCAGAGAAGATCTTTGTCTTAGCCCCAGAGAATCTTGAATTCTGTTAGAGGGTTTTGAACCTCCTGGAGCCCTAAAATGATACCACTTGACATTTAAGCCTTCACTATACACTTGTTTGGGAGATTGCAGACCTGATCAGTCTCCAATAACTAAGTGATAATATTATAAACTCATTAGGTTTCCCTCTCCTTATTTGAGATTTTTGCTCTTTCATACTAAAGTTTAACTCATTCATAGGTATGTTACATTTTTTACTTGTTCACTCTGGTTTGATTCTTTTTCCAATTTTTCCCCATAATAGTTTGACAGTTACACACTTGTTGTTCTAGTGGCTACTCTTGTAATTTAAATTTATGTCTTAGTGTAGCTGTGTGTAGAATTAATCAGCACCTACATGAGGCAGTCTTATATACAGTGGTTAAGAGTAGAGCCCTTGAAACCAGACTGCCTGGATTCATCTGGCTCTAATACCTATTAGCTATATAACCTAGAGCTTGTAAAACTGGGGCAAAACAGCACCTTACTTAAAAGACTGTTGTAGGATGAATGTGTTAATATACTTAATGTTTTTAGGACAGTGCCAAGCACATGGATTTCTCTGGTCACAAGTTTTCTCATCTATAAAATGGGCAGAATAACCTAGTGAGCAGAGTTATATTCAGTTATATTTAGTTTAGTACATTGAGTTCCTACCATATTCAAATTAGACATGTTTTCATATGTATGAAAATTAGATATGTTCTGTCGATCAAGGAGTTTGTGATCTAGTAAGGTAACAGACATGCAAGTGCAATTTCAATATGATATAATCTTAACATTTTTCCTATGTCCTTTTTTTCTCCCCTTTTTAATCTGTTTCACGCAGTGTATTTTTGAAAGCATGAATCAGATTGTGCATCCCTGTGCCTTTTCACTTCATATTAACTTTCACTGTACTTTACATAAATCACAAAGCCCTCACCACAGCCTCAGCATTACAGTCTGAGCCCTGACTGCCTTTCTAAACTCATCAAGTGCCACTGCCCCTCTTTGACTGGGCTCCTCCTACACTGGCCTCTTCTTAACTCTGTGACCCAATTCCTCAGAGCCCCCTGCCCAGAATTCTCTCATCCATTCCACTTGCTCTTCCTATGGCTTACTCAGCTTTCAGGTTTCAGTTTGATTTCATCAGGTTGTTAATTAAAATTTACTCTGCGTGAGAAAGGGACTTTCATTAACAATATGATAGTTCACTGAATCTCAGGCTGGGGGTGGATGTAAAAACACCCCAACACACTAGAAGATTTAGTGGAAATCAACTGCTGCCACCACCACTCAATATAACTGCAATTCTACAGTCACTGATGGTCACCATCGGCTAGCAAGAGTGGACATGTTTCTTCCTTCATCTTGCTCACTTCTAGGTTGCAGTTTTGGATGACCTCCTTGGAAGGGCCCAGGTCACATGCCTGTGCCATATAAGTACATCAAAAGAGTGTATTTTCTCCTAGTGAATTCCTCAGACATTGTAAGAGTGTTCCAAAGTTCTGGGGTTTTGGAAAACATTTCACATGAACACTAAACATTGTGTTACTCACCATAAAGACCTACACTGACAACCAGAAGTGCATTTCTGCACCCTAGATCTTTTATTCTTTCACTGTTTTAAGGCACTTATCACAACTTACGTTGTTACAAACTGACTTGTCCAACTGCTTCAGAGACCCTGAAGTCACAGTTTTGTCCCTCTATAGAATTGTAAGTATGTATATTTCAAATGGACAAAAATAAAATGTATTTTAGTCTTTAATGCAGGCCTCTTAGAAGAAAAAACATTAAAGAGGCCCCAAGTCAGTCACAATTCCCAGCAGCTCCAAGAGTTTTGTACTCCTCTTTCTCCTTTAATTCTCCCCAATCCTTAGGTGGATCTGTTTTGCTTTTCTCCATATCCCTTGTTCCTGGGCCCTCCCTTCAAAGGTCTTCTACCTGTTCTCTTATTTTGCATTATAAGCATCCAGAACTAGCCTGAGAGAGAGACATTTTCTCAGGGTTCAGGAGAGAGAAGTTGAGAGGGAAAGCCTATCACACCAAGGAGGCTGGGAACATTTATACACTGATCATGCTGCTTTACCAATTGTAGCTACATTAGAAATGATGAAATACAGTGAAGTCCAGCACCTGAGGTCTGAACAAGGAAGCGTGGTGCTCAGAGCAAGAGCATTTGGCCTTGGGAAGGGGCAAAAGTGGGAGTGGGTGCTGCTTTGGGAATGTAACACAGAAGAGGCCAGGCCTATGCAGAGTCTTGAAGAGCAAGAAGGCACCAGGAAAAGGAGCTAAGGAGAGAGAAAAGTATTCCCAGTAGTCCTGCAGCACAAGCTCTGACAGACACCAGATCCTGTGGGCAGTACTGCTAAACACAAGGTAGCAGAAATGTCAGGAAAGGCGGGGAGCAGGGGTGGGGCTGAAGGGCCTGCATGCTCTCCAGGGGGTGGGGACTCATCCTCAGGTACAGCCACAGTGTGGTGGGAGACCTACTCAGATTCCATTTTAGGTCAGGTGACAGCATGCATGCTAGATTTGAAATCAGCAGGACTAAAAATAGAACAGTTCTGAGCTTAAAAAAGAGGTAGGCTTAAAACAGGTAAATGGTATACAGTAGGAGCAAATAATAGTTTAAAAAACTACTAGAGGTCAAATGCAATTTTTAAGAAGTATTTGGAGGCTAAAGAAGAATGTAGTATACAAACTCTGGCATGGATGGTGTCATTAATTGAGGTAGAAGTCATGGAGAAGAGGTTAGTGGGGTGAGGAGAGTGGTGAGACTCCTGGGCAGGCAATGGTAAAGTGGACTTTAAAGTGCAGTTGTGGGCCAGGAGTATAGCTCAGCAGCATAAGTGCCTGCCTGGCAAGTGCAAGGTCCTGAGTTAGATTCCCAGTACAAAGATAAATAAATAAATAAATAAATAACATAAATAAAGTGCTGTTGCTGTGGGGCTCCTGAGGAGAGATGTGCAGCAGGGGCACAGACATCCAGGCCTGCAGTTTAAGAGAAAGGGGGTAATGCTGTGGACTGACTGTCCAGCTACCAGAGGAAGGCTTTGTGCCTTGCTGTCCTATTTACTTGTATTCAGGACTGGCACTTGAACCTGGCTGTTACTATCTCTTATTTCCCCCAAATCACCAAATTTAGAGGTCAGGGGTCAGGACTCAGACCTATTTATATATTAATATGTGCACAAACTTCCCACCTTACTGTAATCCTTACATATCTTTCCCAGGATAGTAACTCCCCCTTTATGCCTAGTATAGTTTGTTGTTATTTTGTTCTTGGTCTGGAACCAACATTAAATCAAAATGGAAATAAAAATTTAAATGTATTGATACAGAATAAAATAATTATATAAAATGAAAGGAAAAGTAGTTCACATGGACCCACTTTAAAAAATAAAAATCACAACACTTATGATCACTATACCAGTGAGGGAGACTGAATTCCTAAACAAACCATACTGTGACATACTTTGTATACACTTAAGTTCATTAATGGACAAACCCACTATCTTGCAAGTTCACTTTAAAATGTTTTCCACACCAACTGCTTGAAACTAATTACAACATGATCTTCTGCTCCCGGGAGACACAGGGTGACCTTGGCCATGATTAGAAAGAGACAGACAAGCAGCATGTCCTAGTCTGGCCTTGTAGGCTACAGGATGTATCCTGAGTTTGTCTGAGATGATGTACTGACCAGAACCAACCAGAGCTCATCAGGAGCCACAGTGTAGTTCTCAAATACAATTCTATAGTGCATCTATTTCTTTGAATTTAGTCCTCAGGGATGATTCCTGTGGATGACTCTTTAGCATCTTGAAAATTCTAGAGGAGAAAGAAAGAAGGTTCCTGTCATTCCTAGAAGTAAGTAATATAATTCACAGTTCTTCAATAGGGTCAGCTGTTCAGAAATGGTAAGGGGTGTGGTTGCACTCAGGTCAGGCCTGAGGCTGAAGGGCTTGTCTTCAAATACTCAGGAGAGCCAGCCCAGTGGGAGCAATGGCAAGTGGCAGAACAGTGCATTTCAGGTTAGGAAAACACTCCTGTTGTGGTTAAGTTCAGGCTTATTAAGAGTCACAGGGCTCATCCTGATTTGCATATACACCCCCAGATCTACGTGGATGGATGCCAAGAACATGATCATTTCTGTCCTTCAGAAAGTAGTCCAGACTCAGACAAGAAACAAGTTTACGTACATTCCCATTTTCATAGCAACTTATGACTTCAAACAGTCTCCAAAAAGAACAGGAGACACTGTGTTTAGATCTGAATTGGGTGGATAAACACCCAAGCATTTTTCAGCTAGTAATTCTGCTACCTGTGTGTCCTCAGGGTTAGGGGTAAAGTACCTGACACTTCACTAAGCACCAATAAGAGACAAGTCTCAGACTTCACTTTAAAGAAACATCATCTTCCATGAGATATAAAATATAAATAATAAGAAGATATTCTAAGAGTTCTAAGTTTCCAACTGAATAAAATGCAGAAAGAAAACAGTTCTTTAGAAGTTTTAAACTAACTTCAAACATGAAAGACGAAAAGCCCAATACAACTTAGACCGAGTCTGAATCCATCCCCATGTGTCCTCCATGCTCTGGGACTTGAGGTTCTCTTATCACTCCATAAACAGGGACTAGAGCTCTTCCAGGTCAGTCAAGTCCACAGCCACTTTCAAGAACAGAGTGTCATCTTTAATGTAGGTGTTCTTGGCGCTCTCCAAAGTGGAATGAGCCACAAAGCGGGGACAGCCAGATGCAATGTTCATCTCCCCATCAGGTTTTTTAAAACTGCTGCTATTGGGGTCAGCTTTGAAGGTCTCCATGATGTGGTTCTTTTTGCCACTCTGGTCCAAAAGCATCAGGGTCACCCTTTGCCTGAATGGCCACTGCAACAGTGAGTCAAACTCTCCTCGCATCACCACAAAGTACAGGGACAGGTGTGTCCCCTTCCCGGACCCGTCCCCATTGAGGTATGCTCGGACACAGAGCCGGTAGCCACAGCGGCTGGTGTAGAACGGCTGGCTGAAGATGGACACTACGTGCCCATCCACTGCCTCCCTCTTCTTCATCTTGTAGTCTGTCACCTTCCAAATGAGCTTTCCATTGTAGCAGGCACCCTCGAGCAGTTTAAATCGCTCTTCGTTTTTATGCAGCTGTGCTTTATGAATATTAATGTGGGCATCATGTTTGTTAGTCTCCCCTTCTAACACAACTGCAAAGGAAAAAGAAAGGTTCCATACACCTGAAAGGTGTCTTTAAGATTTGCCCAAAGAGGAATTTTGTTACCTATAAAGAACCAAACAAATTTGATATCCTAAAGATGAACTAAACTCAATGTTCCCAAATGGAGAACTTGTTAGTGTTAACTCGGTGGATAGCATGCCTTAGCAAAGTGGCACCAAAAAAATGGGAATATGTACTCTTACGCTGAAACCTGCCAAGATGTAGAAAAGACTCTGAAGCATTTGCCTGAGTAATTAGCATTAGCATGGCAAGCTCACACTTTTCTAACCAGAGTGCTTTTGTTTTTAAAGGTGTTGGGGATTGAGCCCCAGGCCTCAGGCTCACTGGGCAATCACTTTACTACTGAATGCTTTTTAATCACCAAGCCCCTTTATGTTTTCCCATACCTAGAACAATCATCCCACATTTCTCCCTAACTTTCTCATTGTTTCCCACTGTCTTTAAAAATCACCCCTCCCAGGTTTTGGAATTTCCTGCTCAGTCTGCCTCAGTGGGGGAGGCCAACCAGGCCTCCCTCATTTTTGTCTCAACAGCCAGAATCTCACAGGGCCAGGTGTCTGCAGACAGGTCACCAAAAGAGATAAAATATCAGACATACCTAATCGTTGATCATTGGTTTCTAACAGGGTGATTTTCTGTTTCACTGCATCAATTGCTTCCATCAAAGACCTCAGGTCAAAGTTACGTTGTTGCTGGTTGACCATTTGTAACAACTTACACACTTGAGCTTCTAGCCAGGCTGACTTGTCAATGTGGCTGGCAAGCACCTTTTAGTACACAATGGACCATAATATTTAAAACACTTGGTTAATGTTTCACTAATTCAGTAATGTTTTTCAATTCAAACATTTCACATTTAATCAGTTAATGAAATGAAAGCACAGTCCAGAGGAGACACTTCAATGAGGATCAGAGTGGAGTCCTTAATTTCTTCCTCCTCCCCTCCTACTCCAAGGTGTGTTCCAAATCTTTGAACTTTACCTAATTTTCCACTCCCTCAATTTCTCCCCCTTGGCTCTCCGGCCCATTTTTGCTCTGTGTTCTCTGGCTGCCTCTCTTCTCGCGTGGTCACTGTCTCCTTTGAGAAGCTCATCTCCCAGTTCCCTCCTGTTCTAGGGAAGGCATAGGGGCCTGAGAAGGCCCAGTCTCCAGTGCTCTCTTAGGTGAAGGAGACTAACAAACCACTTTACCTTGCCGCAAGTGCCTTAATTCTAACTAGGTGGACTGTATATTTAAAAAGGTCAAAATAGAGACAGTAACACATGATGAATTTTCTTCTGGACACACTCACATACACATGCAGTCATACATATGCATGCAATATATGTATATGCATATATATACCTATGTGTGTATAGATATATACATATATAGGCACAGACCAAATGTTGAAATGAAATGGCCTAGCTTTTCTGAGATAATCCAAATTTCAAATCATTGCCTTGAAGCAAAATAAATGATGGGAAGTAGGGAGATGGATGGTTCTCAAAGGGGAGGTGAGGGATAGGGGATGGAAAAGAAGTGTGCTGTGTATACATACCAGCTCCACACAAGGAATGTGAACATGATGTACTGCAAGTGTGTACAAAAAAATAAGAGGAAGGGGATATATGGATGGGGGAAGGGATGAAAAAGGAATTAAGATGTGTTATGTACAGGTACCAAATTCCCACCAGGAATATAAACATTATGTACCATCCTCAGATACTAATAAAATAAATCACTGCCTTGAAATCTTCTGTTATATCTTCTTCACATCTTGAAATTTTTCACTATAAATTTTATAATAATAAAAGCATATTCATCAGGAATCCATTTATGATTATTTAACATTCATCATTAACAAAGCATTTTGCTATATTTTAGTGATGTCTACAGCATTTTCTTCCCACAACAACTTTCATTTTGCTGCCTACAAAATGTAGAACTACAGATACTCTCAATGAATCAGAAATAGAATAACATTCACACAACATTAATTAAAACCCTAATTGACATAGATTACACGAGAGTAATAAATGCTAAATTTACTGAGACCATTGAATGTATGGGGTTAGGACAGAGATGAGCTACTTTCTTAGGACATTCTGGAGTGCGGAGAGGTAGGGGCTCTGACACTTGTAGAATGCTTAGAAAGGGGTTAGAAAAACACTTGGGGTCGGCGGAGCAGAAGGGGCAATCGCTGCAAAGGAACAGAACGCTGACAGTAGAGTCAGAGCCCACAGACGTTCTTGCACCGTCTCGTTCTATAGTTTCATGCTATATTTGAAGTTGCTTCCACTTAAAAAAGGTAGAAGAAAAACCCTCACTGCCAATGGAAAGCAAGACCTTGGTGTTGAGTGGAAAGACACTTCTTACCTGTATGTTTGAGAGGAGGCTTCCATTTTTCCCAAACAACTGTGCAAACTGGTTGAACTCCTTTTCGAATTTCCTTACAGTTTCTGCTAGCTGCTGGATTTTACTTTCTTTTTGCTCTAGGCTCTTATATAAGTCAGAAATCTAGTATCAGAAATGTGAATAAGGAAAAATGAGGTCACCGAAATGCATGTATACAAGTTAAAATAGTACTTGCAGTACATGAGTCTAGGAGTATATATATTTCCAGGAAATATTCACAGGTAGATTTCTACACAATTCCAGGAAAATGTTTCCAAGTAGTTTCAAAAACCCAGACCCACAGAATTTCACATCCGTCTGTTCTGTCCCTCGCCTATTATGATGGTTCGTCTGACGGCAGTGACACCCCTTGGCGGAACTTACTGAACTGGTTTGGTTCATCCCACCCATCTGTTAGCACTTATGCTCACACCCCAGAGCACTGATGCCCACAGCCCAGCCGATGCTGTCCACACACTATCAATAGCAAAAATGGCTGAAGTTCGCTGAATTCCTACACCTGTTATGGTTTATATCTAGATGTCCCCCTAAAAGCCTTATGCACTCATAGGTGGGGCTCTGGGAGGTGACTGGATCGTAGGGTGTGACAGTCATCAGTGGGCCAGTTCACTGACGAGCTTATAGCGAACGTTGGGAGGTGAACCTGGGTTGAGGAGCTGAGTCACTGGGGCGTGGCCTGGAAGGGCATTGCTCCACTGCTCCTCCCTGCACTCTCTCTGCTGCCTGCTGCCCTGCTGTGAGCAGCCCCCACTGCCGTGCTGTGCTGCCTCTACTGAGGACTGAAGCTTGGACACACTGGGAGTCAGAACAGACCTCTCTTCCTTTAATCTGCAATGTCAGGCACTGGGTCACAGAAACCAGGGAAGTCACTGGGACAACACCCTTATATCCATGAACCTGCATGGTTCATGGTATGGACCCATTTCCCAGGTGTGGACCCATTTCTCAGATGAGGAAACAAAGGTTTAGAGTTTGAGTAACCTGTCCAGCACAAAGGCTAGCAAGTGGTAGGCAAAACACATGCGGAGCATGTTTAGAATCTGTCATCTATTTGAGGGAAATAAATAGAAACTTAAGAGTGATTCTGCACAACTCTGACACCCATATCCATTAGATGCAGGGCCTGCCCACCTGCAGTCCTCACACAATACAGACAGAAGCTCTTACATACACTTCTCATTTCCTCGCCTCATCTGAATATCACTTCAACCTTTATTATTTTTCACTGAGTCTGTGCAAATAGCTTCTTTACTGATCCTAGATTACAGCTTCTACCCTGACATACACCAGAACACAAGCTCTAAGAAGCTGGGACTGGCACAGGTGCCTGATACCAGCTTAATAAATACTTGTCAAGTAATGAATGTACAAATGCTCTTAATCTAGATATATATTTTCCTGTACTGAGGACTGAACTCAGGGCCTTCTCACTGAGCTAGATGCCTAGCCCTTTTTCCATTCCTTATTTTGGGACAGGGTCTTGCTAACTTGTCCAGCCTGGGCAAGCTTGTGATCCTCCTGCCTCAGGCTCCCCGAGTACTGGGATTAGAGGTGTGCTCCACTACAGCTGGTTCCCTGCCTTTACTCTTATTCTCCTCCAATTTATACTCCATACTATGAACAAAATAATGTTAAGGGACAAATCTAGTCTTATGCCCCCCTGCTTAAGTGTCTCCAGTACTTTCTTTTATAGGCCACCCTGGGCCCTAATCATCTGTCCTTGGCTACATTTCCAGCCTCCTGCCCATTCACACCCTCCTGCCATTCACACCCTGCCCGGGAAAGCCGTGCATCTCCTGGTCTGGATCAGGCCTGTTCTCTGGGATACTTCCTCTTTCCTCTAGAAACTACTGCTTTAGGGGCTGGGGATTTAGCTCAGCGGCACAGCGCTTGCCTGGCAAACGCAAGGTCATGAGTTTGATTCCCAGTACCAGAAAAAAACAAACAAAAAAATAGAAACTACTGCTTTATAAGCTGCTGCTCAAAGGCACATCTTAGAAGACCCTGCTCACTAGCATTACCCACCACCACCTCTAGCTCCAACTTACCTATCTCTGTTACAACCTGCTTTTGTGGCTGCTGTTTTGCTCCTCCTCCTCCACGGGATTGTTTCTTGGCTGCATCTCACTAATTTCCCATCCCCCCCAGCTCCTAGTGCTGAAGGCATGGGGTGCATGCTTGAGGAACAAGCACACAGATGACTGAATCAGTGGTTCCATGGATCTCCGGCCTAGAATTCCTTTTGTGGGCTGCAGGGCAGACTTACCCCCACCCACCTGACCCTCTCCCCACCCTCACCTCCAGCCATTCTTGTTCTCATGGTGGCCACATCAGTTATCACCTCCCACTTCCCCGTCTCCTGTGCCTCCAGCACTGCTTCAACCTGAGGACGCCTGCTGATGCCTGCCCACTCTGCATCCCACTCACACGGCCTTGTCCAAGCCTCCACCACAGCCACCAGCCCTCCAGCATCCTGTTGCCACTTAGTGTTGAAATGTTTATGCCAAGAGCTGAACTAGATTATCTCATTTCAGCCACACCACAACCCATTTACAAATGAGGGACTGGAGAGAGGTGAAGCAGCTTGCCCAAATTCAGGGCCCGTGTGGAGCCGGGCTGCACACCAGGGTGGAGCGAGGTTACAAGCCCAGGCCTTTGGCTCCAGAGCCCTCACCCTGACATGCATCTTACTGTAAAAAGCCAAACAATTAGTATTTTGCTATTTAAAACTCCCACTAGCTTCCTACTATTGATAAAATCAGTTCAAACTTCTGGCCCTTGAATTCTTTCTGAAGTGAGACAGAGTACACATGAATAAAACAACAATTGAACATACTGTTAGAAACTTCTTGAATTACATGAAAGGCAACTGCCGTGTGGATCCACCCAACGTAACACTCTTCAGCCATTCCCTGTCTCACATTTGGGTGCATCTGAAAATCTTATTTCCTTAAGGAGCAGCATGTGGGACGCTTCCCTGCCTTGGAACAAGCTGTCCCTTTCTGGAATCCTCCTGTCGCAGTGCTGCAACTGACCAATCATTCCTTCCCTCACGACGCAGTCTGTCTGTCCTGCCTTGACAAGCCTTCCACAATGACCCGAGTTTTCTGCTGAAGCCTCTGTCCCCCCGGCAGGGTTACGGAGCATCCTATGAGGCACAGCAACTTATCTGCTTACATTTGTTCCTCGACTCAGTGTCCCCGGCAATGAACACGGTACCTGACACACGCGAGGGGTCTGTTGGATGAATGGGTGGATGGCTGTGGCAAGTGCACAGAAAGAATTTTCAAACAGTCAGCGGGCAACATGCCTTTTACCAAAGTTACTGTCTCATCAGTCTTCCAACTTTCTCCACGATCTGACCCTGGAACTCATACGCCCACTTTAGTATAGAACCAGACATCATAAAATAATCTGCAATAGTAAAATTTAACTCCTTCCCATGTGGGCTTGAAAAGTCTTATCTTGCTGGGCACGGTTGTACACACCTACAATCCTAGCACTCTGGGAGGCTGAGGCAGGAGGATCACATGCCTAGGCAACTTGGCGATTTTGCAAGGTACTGTCTCAAATTAAAAAAAAAAATTTAAAATTCTGGAGATGTAGCTGAGGTCCTAAATTCAATCCCCAGTACCAAAAAGAAGAAGAGAAAAAAAAGTCTGATCTTCTGAGGTGTTCTAACAAAATCATTAACTTTTATAATCACTGTTCATTAGAATCAGTAGCTATTGAGGTCTATTCTGAATGCTCTGGGCACTATGACATAATTTCATCTGATAACCACAGTTCAGTGAAGTATGTAAATATAAAATAAGTACACAGTTATCATGTTACTAAGCTTCTCAATGACAGTTTAAACTTCTTTCTTTCTTTTTTCTTTTTGTCTTTTTGAGACAGGTTCTCGCTATGCAGTTCAGGCTGGCCTTGAGCTCACATGGTAGCCCAGGATGGTCTTGAACTCACAATGATCCTCCTGCCTCAGCCTCCCAAGTGCTGGGATTACAGGCATGCACCCCGCTTAAACTTAATTCTAAATTACCAAAATCTATAATGTTTAGAATAGTCAACTGGTGTTTTATGGTAATACTGACTTAATTTTAAAATATTAGACATCTACTAAGTGGAGCTGGGGATATAGCTCAGTGGCACAAGCATCTGTCTAGCAAGCACAAGGTCCTGAGTTTAATTCCTGGTACCAAAAAAAAAAAAAAAACCAAAAAAAAAAAAACCTACTAAGTTCCAGGTGGTAATCAGAAGGTGCATGGGAAGGCAGTAAGACGTGCCATGAGGAGCACTGGACCTAGACTTGGAGGACATGGCTTGACGTTGAAACTTGCCACTCACAGGTCACAAACACATCAGCACTTCTTTGAGCTTAGTCACCACATATGTTCAATGAGGGGGTTGGAACCAAAGGTCTCCAAGGCACTGATGGTCCTAATGTTCCGTGATCCTGCCAGCCTGCCCAGCCACTGAGGAGGAAAGAATTAACCTGCACTGAAGCAGAAGAGGGTGTACAGGTAGCCACACAGTGCAGGCGAGTCCTGGCATTTCCGCTGTCTCCCTGTAGATGTGGGCCCTCAAAGGCTCACCTGTCTTTCTAACTGGAAGTTCTTCTCCAGCACCAGAAGCATGTGTTCCCGCAAGGCTGATTGTTCGTGCTCCTGCAGGTTCCCTCGCTTATCCTTGAGTAGGAAGACAAAAAGAAGCCCAGTTACTGGGAAGTCTGAGAATGAGGAAGGCTGCGGGATATTCTGCCGATGCCGAACCTCGGCAGCTTTGCTGCTTTAATTGTATAGAACCACTCACCTCCATGTGGGTTGTAAGAAAAAAGGTTCTATGGTCTCTCTTCCACCTCTGGGATTCTACGGTGCCCATGAGGCAATCTTAACCTTAACAAAGACCCTGCCGCTATCAAAACTCTTGGCACTGATTTTCTTCCCTGCCTTTCTATGAGTTAGGTCCTCTCAGCCATGCCCTATGTCCTTGGTGGGTTCTCTCTAGTTTAATTTTTAGCCGAGGATGGTCCTCCCTCCTATCAACCACATTTCTATGCTGTCTCCTATCACAGTCCTGTTGTCAGGGGCAGAAGGCTACAACCTAATTTCAGTCCACGCAAATTAATATCCATAAAAAGGCAGAATAAGTCTGCAAGAAGAAATGATGATCACAATACTTACTTGCAAATTGCCTCTCTTACTAGTATAAGCGAAGGTTAGTGTTGCAGGTGGTCCATATAATCTAAGCAAATGTTCATCACCAATTTCCCTTTAATTTAGGGCTGGCCTCTCTGGTGACAGGCTGCCCCAAATAAGGCTCCAAAGAACAACTTCTCCAGCTGCCCCCAGCTCTAGTACTGAGGTACATTCTAGAATCCAGCCCAGCTGGAAGTGTGGGTCTGACTATAAAGACCTTTTTCAGAGCTGGAAGGCATTAGCGCATTTCTGTGATGAAAGGAAAACCTGTCATTCCTTTAGCTAAGACAACTACAGACATTCCTGCTTAATGACTGGTCGGACTTACCACACCTCTTCTTCCGGTCAAGTTCTGTACATCTTATTTATAGAGCCTCAATCTCTTTTTTTGGTGCAGTGTACTTTCTTTATACGGTAATTTTTGCTGATTGGACTGTACAGTACTGTAGTTCTACATTGTTATACATTACAGTACTACATGTAAGAGCTATAAAAATAAAAGCAAAGTTATCAAGTTGAAGTTTCTTGGACCATTTCTTTGTTCCGAGTATTGTAATGTACATACCATATACAAGTCCTCATTTAGTGACCAATTAAATTAATGACCCAGTTGCAGGAACTGAGTTCCCTTGTTGAAAGATGAATGTCTGTACTGGTTGGTATGTGTCAAATTTATACACTTTTCACCCATTTTTAAAAATGTTTTCATTAATAAATAGATTTCTGCAGTAAAAGAAACAGGTTCTTATGTCAAACAATATAGCAAGACGTAGAATGAAAAGAGAAAGGGCTCTTCTATTTCTACATCTGATTCCCTAGTCTTACATACCACAGTCAACAAAGGCAGGCACACAATTTTAACACAAATGAGACCAGACTACATTTATTTTTTACATACACCTCATGCATTTTTATCAGATGCATATTACTTCCAAATATGACAATGTCATGATATAGCTGGTACTTCTGTGATGGACTTACAGGTTTTTAGCTTTGGGTTTTTTGTTGTTTTGTTTTGCTTTGTTTGTTTGTTTGTTGGCTATACAAACAGCACTATTATGTGTGCTTTGTGTGTATATGTGCTTGTGTATATATGTGTGCGAACACTTATGAAACATAAATTCCTGGCTGCATAATTGCAAGGTTAGTAGATGGGTTCACTTTTTATGTTCATAGATACAACCAAACTCCCTAAAATCAGTTGAATTTCTTTTTTTTTTTTGTCTTTTTGAGACAGGGTCTCGCTATGCAGTCCAGGCTGGCCTTGAGCTCACTTTATTGCCCAAGCTGACCTCAAACTTGCAGCCATCCTCCTGCCTCAGCCTCCCGAGTGCTGGGTTACAGGCATGCACCACCACGCCCGGCTCAGCTGAATATTATAAAATGTTTTCATCTTTGTCATTTTGATGATGAAAATCATATTTCTTGTTGTAATTTATGTTTATTTATAAGTAAAATTGAGCATCCTTTTGTACATCTACAAGCCAGCTGGTTCTTTTCTGGAGCTGTCCATACATTCCTTTTCCGTTTTCTATTAAGTTGTGTAACTTATTCATAAAGAAGAGCTCTTGTATGTTAAGAAAAATAGCTTCCTTTTCATCTGGTCATATGTCTCAAACCTTTTTTCCAGTTTGTGGTTTGCCATTTAACTTTATGAATTTCAAAAATCATGGAGATGTTTTAAATATTTGTGATGAAACATCAGAATGATGGCTTCTGGGCCTTGCATTAGTCATCTAAAAAAGAGCTTATTCATCTCAAGAATTTAAAAATTCACTCATTTTTTTCTCCTAGTGTTTTTATGATTTTTAAAATAAATTTTGTTTTGGAGCAATTTTAGATTTACAGAAAACATGGAAAGATACTATAGAACATGATATATTTCAATGCCTTAAACTTTGATCCAACTGGAATCTGTTAAAAGGACTGAAGTTTCCACTTTATTTTCTGAAATATTTATTTTATATAATGTATCAAATAATTATTTTAAGGATACAGTAAGTCCCTGAATTATGAGTGAGTTCTGGAAGAATTGCTCCTAAGTCAGATCTGTTTGTAAGCCAACAGTGAGTCTTATGCAGTACACCTGTGAAAGTTCACAACTCAAATGTTCCTGAATTGGGGTCTTACTGTAAGTAATAAAATAGCTTATGGCTCCTAGTTGTATCACCAACATGAGTCTAAGTAGTGCTGAGAAGGTACTTTGTAGATATGATGAACATAACCAGCTGATTTTTCTTTTTTCTTTCTTTTTTTTCCCGGTACCGGGAATCAAACTCACGACCTTGTGCTTGCCAGGTAAGGCGCTGTGCCGCTGAGCTAAATCCCCAGCTCCAATCAGCTGATATTAACTGAACAAGATATTCAGCCATACTGTGGGTGGACCTCACTCAATCAGGTGAAGGCTTCTTGAAGAAGCACTTGGAAGGATTGCAGCACAGAAACTCCAGCCTGAGTGTGCAGACTGAGAGGCTGCTCTGCCTTGCAGATTTTGGGCTTGCTAACTTCAACAACTGCCTGAGCCAATTATTTACATACAAGTCTATTTCTCTGTAGAATCCTAATATAATTACAATATTAAAGTTCTCTGGACTGTAACCATGCACCATGAACGGAATCAAAGATGAACATGGACTTTCCCAGTTGACTTATACAGTAGAACGCAAAGGCAGAAACAAACAGGATCCCTTACCTTGACAGCACAGCCGTAGTGCTTGAAAGGGCAGTCTTGTTCAGCCTCTGGACACACAGCCAGATGTTCATCCACCTGTAAGACAGGCAGGCCTCAAACTACAGACACTCCCCACCAACTCCCCATGTCAGAGCAGCTGCAGCTAGCAGGGGCCCAGGACAGTGAGGCAGAGGGCAGGACCAGCAGAAGGCGAGAACCTGGGCAGGAAGAGCTTGGATGGATCCTGAGAAGAGGCTGCAGGGAGAAAGGAAGGGGAGACACAGACAGGATCCTGTGGGGATGACTCAAACCTCAGGGCTTTGCGCTGGTTTCTATCAAACACACACCACAATGAATGCTTACACTGATCTGACATAGAATGTACAGAAAGGATTATTTACAGTTACCTCAGTTCTTGGAATAACCTGTGAGCACTTGTTGGGACAAGACACTGGGTACTCAGGACACAAGTTCTCTTCATGGTTCTGAAACAGAAAGTGTGATGAAACAAAATCAGGGTTTCTCTTTTCTGGCCTCACTGCGAAAGCAGACCTGTCTTTTTGGAGATATACGTCTGTGGCCTGCCTTCCAGAGAGGTTTATAAGATAATACCAAAAAGGATTCAATTAAAAGATTAAATGTTCTGCTTATTCAAACAATACATCAGAGGGCAGGGGGCTCTAACAAAGAAGTCTGGGGAATTAACAGAGTGTCTCCTGGGGAATTAACAGAGTGTCTCCTTTGGCATCTGGAAAAGGTATCCATGGTCTCATTTCACATGCACATTCTGACTATCCAGTTCAGGGTCTGCAGGGCAGCATCGCCATCACCTGCCTGTCAGCCAGGGCTCACACCTCTCCTTCCACATGCAGCAGGCATTCAAATACTAGTTTCACCCACAAAAAATGAACAACATCCTGCCAAGAAGGCTTTGAGCTGCAGACTTGATTCTGTGCACAGACAGCCGCAGCCAAGAACTTCTAGTGTCCCTCCCACCGACTTCATTACTACCACCCAGCAGAACGTGGCACCAGATGGGAGGCTGTCCTTTTACCTGTAGATTGATTACTACCACATCCTTTTTGCAGTAAACGCATTTCTCCTCCCGGAACTGGCAGCACGCGCTCAGGTGCTCCTGCAGGTCTCTCCGGAGCATGGCTTCCTGGCAGTTCTCATTGGAACATGGAATGGCCTGGAACAGGCACTGCTGCAGGTGCTCCTGCGACAGACAGCAAGAGGCCGGTGGGGCCAGCTGGAAGGCCCTGGGAGGGTGAGGGTAGGGCTGGCTGAAAGGACAGTGCAGAGCAGGAGGTGGGGAGTCCCAGTTCTGTCACGAAGGCCACCCACATCTCTGCTGAGGAGAGGCTGCAAAGGGCTGCTGGGACTACAAGCTGCAAAAGCCACCCTGTTTGGTAGGAACTAGTATCTGGGTAATAATATCCTTTAGTTATTGTGGGCTGATCAGGTCCACAATCTCCTGAATAAGTGTACAGCAAAGGCTAAATAAAAAGATGTGAATGGAATGATTTCAGGGCTCCAGGAGGATCAAAGCCCTCTCACAGAATTCGAGATTCTCTCAGGAGTAAGACCAAGATCTTCTCTGGGTGGCTGTATTTATTTGGTCATCAGAAGAAGGGAGGGAAGTACTCAAGAAGGGTGGAATTACTCAAGGACTTCTCCAAGTAAGGTATTAAATTAATTCTTAATAAGGATTAAGTTAATCTACCCAGAAGTAAAATGCCTGAGGCTATAATCTTTGTCTAGTTGAGATCAGATCCAGGTATCCTTGGCTGTGATCTTGTCTTATCCTTTGAGGCTTCCTGGCTTCATCCACCATTACAGGTTTTAGTAGGGATTAGTGACTCACAGAGGTTCACTTACTATGAGTCCATCACCCACTTTCAGACAAGTGGCCTAGGCTTTGAACAGATTCATAAGTAAACATAAAAAGCCAATTGGTTAAGTTCTGCTCAGGGCTGCTTCATAGTGGTCTCCACCAAACTGGGAGAGAGGACGATGGGCAGGTTAGTATGCCAGGTGTATTTTAGATGGCCCAGACTCTACTTATTGTATCCTTACGTCAGTTTCTGGCTATTTTCCTGGGGCTAGTCAGTTAGGGTGTCAGTTCTTTGAGGACATTTTTATTTCTTTTGTGCATTCTCCATCTCTCCCTGCAACTCCTTGTACTGGCCTCTGCACTGCACATGATGGAAGATGGAGCAGAAGGGAAAAAGGAAGAGAGGAGGGCATATCCTGACTCAACAAAGGCAAGGAAAGTACTAAGAGGCAGAAAAGGAAGAGAGAGGGGGCTGTCCTGGGAACAGGAAGAAGGAGTCAGAGGAAACACAGGCTCATGGGCCTAGCAGTAGCCAGGAATGCTCTGCCCTGTAAAATCAGAGAAGACTCTTAACCACAGTGTTAGAGATCTACAACATAGGATTCTTCACTGCTGGAAGCAGCTAACGCTGTAAATTGGTAGTATGTGTGAGGCCAGGACAGAGCCAGAGTGCCTAAACATCAAGCTACCTCGGTCTTGAGAAAGAATCCTGCCTGGACAATTCAGTCATTAGTCACTAGGCCACCTTGTGTCTCCTGATACTAACTTTTTAAAGGTGTAAATAAATACACCTACTGTTGTTGTTCAGGTCCTCTTACCCATCAGGGAAAGAGGCCTCCACCTGACCCAGCTCTTGTCTCTTGTGTATCTTTTCCTCATTCCCGCTGCTGTTCCTCCCTGGGGTACAACAAGAAATCGAATCCCAACACTTCACATTTTAGGTTTTTTCAAAGCAGGTATGTCTCAATAAAAACCACTAGATCACTGCAAGTGGCTGTGATGCTGACAAGCTCCCCAAATCCTAGTGAACGTGTTTTCCTTTAAAACAGAGTCAGAAGCAAATGATTCATTCATGCTGTCTATGATCCCTGCCCTCTGGAGCGGGAGGGCTGTGTTGTTGCAATGGAAACTGTACAGCCTGCAAAGCCTAAAATATTTACCATCTGGCCCCTAACAAAAAGTTTGCTGCCTCTTCTCTGAAAGAAAATGGAGGGAAAATTTTTTCAGCAGCAGGATAAAGGTGACAGCTACTTTTCTTTACCACTGGTAGTAAGAAACAAATGATGATGGTGACAGTCAAAATCTGTATCTTCTCCAAAATTCATGGATTCCAGCCATTCACTCCTACCAGTGAACTCTGCCACCTCCAGAATCTGCACCTTGCCACACCAGGGGAGCAGGGCAAGGAGTGAGAGAAACCCAGGGCAAATGGGTGGAAGAAGCCAGCCCTGCTCTTCAGAACGCTCTGCTATGGTCCCTACAGCTGTGTTCCATCTGAGCCTCGTTTCCTTTTCAGGCTTAGTGATAGCAGTGTTGGAAAAGAGGCCTAGCTCTAGGGCCTGCCATAAAGGCAGGTGCTAAGGGCGTCAGAGGACAAGAAAATTCTGTGAACGTCCAAAGCAATCTTTGCGTTCACAAGGAAATCATTTGTTATTTATCACCTCAGAGCCTACAGGGTCTGGAGGCCTGATAAAGAAAAGGCTGAGTCATCTGAAATACATGCTCCAAACTGTGTGGGTGTGAGAGGAAAACGCCAGCAGCTTCCAAGCAGTTCCCTGGAAGCCAGAGATGCCTGAGTGTTAGTCACTTGCAGGGTGATTGAGCTTGACACAGGCAGATTTTCCAGCTTCCCATTAACAGCTTTCTCAGCTGGATGAAAGCCTCACTCAGTGGTTTCACGTGATAGGAACTCAACTCCCCCTCAGTTAAACTTCCCCTGCACCTGTTTGTTTGTGTCTCACACCAGTCCTTCACCTTGAAACCACATTCTGTTGCAGGTCTGTGTGATCTGCTTAGGTCATACACATACCTTGCAGGCCAGGCCCACACACCAGAGCTCCACATGAAAGCACAAACACTTTGGGGTGGGACCCCTGATTCCCCCCAAATGACACATCTTTGCTTGAGTGTTTCTTTTGCTTGGCATGTCCCACACCTTTTTTGGCTTGATGACCCCTAAACTACAACTTAGGGTCTGGCATACACAGCACGCCCTCCTATACAAGGTGTATCTCTTCATCAACACCCACACTGATGGTGTGCTTCAGCGCAACTGCGAAGCATATGGTGTGATCCAGGAGTTCTTGGAGGGCAACCCAGGGCTCCCTCCATTGTGCCTGCCCAGGAACTGTCACATAGAGGGGATGATGCATCACATCAGAGAAATGACAAAGGCAAGTATTGCTCATACCAACCTGGTATCGTCCCAGAATTATTTTGGCATTACATCCAGGGGCATTTTTGCAATACACATATAAATTGAGGACTTCCCTTTTGCAGCAATTGTCTTTAAACACCTAAAAGACAAACATGTTAGATCTCATATACTCCGCTACTTTACAGGAATGCAAATGAAGCTATTATTAGTTTGGTCTTCAAGCATATCTCAAAAGTCAGATGGAAACTTCCAGTTTATGGAAATAGTATTACTCTAAAAGGAAAGGCTGCCTCACATCCATACTTCTGACAAGCCAGGTAACTCAGCACTCACTGTTAGGAGAATCGCATGTGAATTTGACCTCACACAGTCCAGATGCTGGATGTGGAACTGTGGGATTCAATATTTGCCCCACTGCATTTTGGTCTTACTTTGGATCCATTCCTGTCTATCCTCCTATTTCTACATTTTAGAATGGGAATGTTTATTTTGTGCCACTGTATGTTGAAGGTGTGTGTAACTTTCTTTTCATTTGTACAGCCGTTTGCAGCTAAGAGTTTGCCTTAAACCTCAGAGGAGATTTTGGATTTGGACTTTTCAGCAGTGCTGACACTGTTAGGACTTTAGCAACTCTTAGAGAAGCACTAAGTACCTTTTGCATAAAGGGATGCACATGAAATCTTTTGGGGGTTAGTGGCAGAGTGTTATGGCTTGTATCTAGATGCCCCTAAAGCCTCATGTGCTCGCTCACAGATGTGGCTTTATGGAGGTGGCTGATTTAGGGTGTGTGAAGATGGACTAGAAGTGTGTGATAACTACATTAGTCCACTGATTGGTTTAGCGATGTTTTGGGTGTGGGTAATGGGAAGTGTGAATGGCACCAACCAAATAGGCTTGTAGTTTGGACAGAAGATAAAGGAAAAGATGGAAGGCAGGCTTGCTGCTTTCTGCCTGCCCTACCATGGATTGTTTCTCCTCTGTGATGCCCCTCTGCCATGCTGTCTGCCTTGGAGCCAGCTGACTATGGACTGAAACCTCTACAATCTGTGAGCCAAATAAACTTTTCCTTCTTTAATTTTGGGTGCCAGGTATTTTGTCTCAGCAATAAGCAAAGTAACTCAGACACTCCTTCTCTCAGGGAAATCACCAGGGTGTCCCTAAAGCTGTACTGATTTGCTATTTCAGTACACATGCCAGGGGTTAGCAAACTTCTCTGTTAAAAGGTCAGATAGTAAATATTTTCAACTTTGTAAGCCACATCATGACCACCTCTGTTACCGAATTTCAACTCTGCTGTGCACAACCCTGAAGCAAATGCTCCAATAAAACACTATACATGGGTACTGAAAGCTGAAGTTCACCTAAATTTCATGTGTTACAAAACACTGATTTTTAAAACAGATTTTTATTTTGAAATAGTTTAATACAAGAGGCAAAACAAGGAGGGTTGCTATGCATCCTTCTTTTGATATTTTTTCAACCATTTAAAAATGTAAGAGCCATTTGCTTAGCTCATAGGCCAAGCAAAAACATGCGGCAGCTGGATTTTCCCCAAGGCTGGAGTACATCCATCCCTGGCCTAGTGGGTCAGACAGACACTAAGTAGAGAACAGCTCTCCAGGAGGTATTTATAACACACATCAGAAGGAGTGTAGAGAAAGAGCAGACTGATCACACCAGGTGCTCATGGAATGCTTTCTGATGCCTGAATTCTGAGGAACAAAATGCTAGATGAAGAAAACTGCATGTAATTAAAGAGCGGCTTTAAGGAAATAATTTTCATTGTGAAACAGCAGTTTCTGTTATGACTGTGTCTAGATGTCTCCTCAAAGCCTCATGCAATCATAGAGGGGCTTTTCAGAAGGGGCTGCATCTAGAGTGTGTGGTGCTGGGATCAAGAGTGTGTGATTACTAAATGAGTCCATTGATAGGTTTGGTAATTCTCTGGGTAGAATTAAGGGTGTAGGTGCTACACCTGCCCTAGCATGGGTAGGCTGCCTAAAATATAAAGGACAGAGAGAGAGTGAATGTGCTCTTGCTTGCTTGCTTGCTGCAATATCCCTCTGCTGTTCCACCTGCCTTGGAGTCAGCTGACGATGGACTGAAACCTTCACACACTGTCAGCCAAATGAATCTTTCTTCCTTTAACTTTGAGTGCTGGGTATTTTGTCTCAGCTGTGAGAAAAGTGACTAAGACAGTTTCTTAGCTATAACAAAAATAACAAGGAATTAAAAACAAAATTAGATAAATTAGACTTCATAAAATAAAAAAATTTTCTGCTTCAAAGGATGCCATTAAGAAAGTGAAGACAACCTACAGAATGGGAGAAAAATATTTGCAAATCGTGTATGCCTAAGAAACGTATCTAGAAGACACTGTATAAAGAACTCTTAGAGGAGACAACCCAACTTAAAGATAGGCAAAGAAACTCAGTAGGCAATTCTACAAAAAAGATACACAAATAGCCAATCAGAATGTGAAAAGATACTCAACATCTTTAGTCACTAGGGAAAAGCAAACCAACAAACATATACATTTTACACAAACTAGGAAGACTGTAAATGAAAAAACTGAGAACAACAATTTTTGATGAGGTTTTGGAGAAACTGGAACTCACATACATCCACAGTAGGAATCCATGGAATGGTGTAGGTACTCTGGAAAATTGCCTGACAGTTCTCAGAATATTAAATACTGAGCTGTCCCATTACCCATAATTTCACTTAGCTATACATCCCAAAGAAATTGTTATGGTTTGTGTCTAGATGTCCCCGCAAAGCCTCATGCAGTCATAGGTGGGGCTTCTTCCTGGGTGGTTGGATCTACAATGTATGATGCTGGGATTAGGGTGTGTGATTACTAAATTAGTCCACTGACTGGTTTGGCACCCACCCTACCCTGAGTAGCTTAGATAGAGTATAAAAGGGGCAGAAAGAAGCTGCTGTTGTTGCTTGTCCTTGCTTGTTGCTTGCTCACTTTTGCTGTCTTCTGCCTGCCATGAACTGTTTCTCCTCTGCCACACTCCTTGGCCATGCCATCCTGCCCTGTAGTCAGCCAATAATGAACTGACACCTCTAAAAACTGTGAGCTAAATAAAACCTTTCCACCCTTAACTTTGGGGGTTGGGTATTTTGTCTTAGCAATGAGAAAAATAACTAGACAGAAGTGAATATAGGGCCACATAAAATCTTGCACATGAATTATTCATAATCATCCAAAAGTGGAAGCAACTCAAATGTCCATTAATTGATGAATGGATTTTTAAAAATGTTGTATATCCATACAGTGTAATAGTATGCAGCAATAAAAAACAATGAAGTATGAAATGTTCTATAACACGGATGAATCTTGAAGAAAGCGTGCTAAATGAAAGAACTGCATGATTCCATTCATATGAAATATCTAGAATAGGCAAATCCCAAGAAGCAGAAACTAGATTAGTGGATTCCAAAGGCTGGAGAAGGAGAGAAGGGAATACGTACCACAGGCACGGGGCCTCTCCCTGGGGATAATGGCAATATTCTAGACTCAGACGGTATGACAGCTGCATGACCCTGTCAATACCCTGAGACCCACTGAACATCTCATTTTCAAAAGTAAATTTTATAAATTGTGAATTTTGTCTCAATAAAGCTCTTACTAAACCAAAAGGAAGTTTTAGGGATTAACCAAACAAGAAAGTTTAAGGAGACAGGGTGCTCCATTTCTCCCACTGCTTACTGTAGCAGAAGCCAGTGTGGAAAGGAGTGAGGAGTGGGTAGCAAGGCCCTGGTCAGTGAAGACCACAGAAGCCTCTTTCTAACAGGGTTAGGGGAGGAGCTGCCCTGACTCAGTGGAGAGGAACGTGGACTCCAGGAAGGACCCATGACCACGCTCCTGCACCAAACCCAAGGGCCAACTCAACCCAGGACACTGGCCTCTCCTCCATTAGACCAAAGCAGTGATTCTCTTACCTCCTGAGATTTGATAACCTCTTTATCTACAGGGCAGATTGGCACTGCATTTAGTTCTCTGAGGAGAAAAACAGAAATAGAGCCATGGTTAGGCGTTCAACCTCAACAGTTCTTCTGAGAGCAGCCCTGTGCTCTAGCTACAAGTCGTCCCCAAGCACGCTGTTGTCCCCTCTCCAGAAAGGTGCTCCTGAGCCCTCCTTCCACACCTCCCCAGTCTTTCAGTCTGCTGAAAAACTCCCTCTCACCCTCCAGGATGCAGTGGGAGAGAGTCCTCTGGTGAGTGCTGAATGCCCCTGGCCTCTGTTTATCCCACGTGTAGCACCTGCCCTTTTACCAAACTGGGACACTCCAGGAAGTTGACACCACCCCACACTATGCTCTTAGCTCTTGGGCGCTAGACACTGTATCGTAGCTGAACAAAGTGCCTGGAAGGCACATGTGCAGAAGGAATGAGCTCACATGTGCAAAAGTGCTCATGAGCGCTTTTAAAGCCAGCAGGGGACACCTGCCTCTTGGCCCCATAGAAGCCCCAAAGCCTCTGTACATCTCTCCTAGTCTCCCCACTTAAAATGGCACGACCCAGGGTGCTACAGTTTGGATGCTAGATGTCTCTCAAAGGCCCATGTTAAAGGCCTATCTCCAGGGTGCTGCTATGGGGAGGCAGGGCCGGTTGGGAGGCCTTTAAGACAAGAGACTATGACTTTGAAGAGGCAGTGGAACACCAGACCCTTTTTCTCTCTTTCTTTGGTTTCCTGGCTGATGAGATGAATGCTTCTCCCTCACACCATGATATACTGCCTCACTGCAGGCCCAAAATACTGGGACCAGTGCATCATGGCCTGGAAACCCCAAAACTATGAGCTAAATAGCTGTCTTATTTTTATGAGTTCATTGTCCCAGGTATTTCATTGCAGTGATGGAAAGCTGACCGACACAGGCTTCACAGCTGCCCAGGAGCCCAGCAGCCATGGTGGCGGGGTCCCTGATGGAAGCGCCAGTCCCTCTGCCTCAGTGCAAGGAGCATTCAGGGCAAGGCAGACAAAAACCACCTTCCCCCTCCCCACAAAAGTTGTGCCTATAGCCTGCTGTCCCACGCAGGATATGTGGGGTCTGAATTTTGCATAACTGAGGGCCAAAAAGGAAGACTGCTCTTCAGGCCTTAACAGAGGGGTCTGGGAGAGCTCTTCCTGCTGTGGCTCCACAGCCAACCACACGCTTACAAACGCCATGACCATACCTGAGCAGCCACAGCTGCTCCTGGATGCTGGCCACACCCTGGCCACCCCCTCTGGCGCCCTGCCGCTCACCTCAGGGCCAGGATGCAGTGCTGGCAGAAGCGGTGCCCGCAGCCTGTCTGGTGGGGGTTGTGAAGCACAGAGTGGCACAGGGCACATTTGTAGCGCTCTTCCAACTGCTCCACAAACCAGTACTCTGTGTTGGGCTCAAAGTCCAAGGAAATGGAGTTGCTGGAGTTCTGGCGGATGAAACCACAGGGGACCCCTCCATGCTCCTCTGTGGAAGCCATTCTGGGGAGTCAGGGGAAAAAGGAAAACTGAATGTGAAAACACCCAACTGCAGCCAGCAGGTATTTAATGACTTGTTTCAGGATCAGTGAACATCAACCACATGGTCATTCTGTCATGAGATTTTAGCAACAGTAATAACGTCCTGCCACAGGGGCTCCTGCAAATGTGAGGTGACTTTGGGGCGCTGGCTGGAGGCTGATCCAGATGACTTTCACCAAGAATCTTCGCAATGTGAGCTCTTGGTCCATCGGCCTTCCACAGGGTGCTGAATATCCTGTCACTGTGGCCACTGTGGCTCGGGCAAACATTGCCAGCTGTTCCCTACACTGTATACAAACCTCTCCCGACTTTTCTTCCAGACTGAGAGAACCAGCACACGCTTCATAACCTTTTTTGGAAGCAAGCGTCTCGCACATACACATTTCTTCCTATCAATTTTCGTCTCTCCCTCCCTCCTCTCTTCTCACCACTGCAACAGAGACTATGCTCCCCAAATGTGCGTGTTGAAGTCTCGGTCCACAGGGTGATGGTAACAGGAGGGGGGCCTTTGTAGGGGACGACGTCGTGAGGATGGGGCCCTCATGAATGAGATTCGTGGCCTTACAAAAGCGGCCAGAAACCTCCCTCCCCTTCTTGCGCCACACCATGGTGTAACAGTGCCCCTGGAAGAGGGCCCCCACCAGGACCTGACAACGCTGGTGCTCTACCTCAGACTCCAGCTCCCAAACTGTGAGAGATAAACCTCTGTCAGATGAGCTGCAGCCTGCAGCTCCTTGTTATGCATGGCAGCCCAACTAAGGTAACACCAAGTCACACCTCTTCGTGCCTGGACTGATTAAGAGCCAGGGAACTGCTTTCTTTTCCACTCCATTTTCTGTGCTAGACAGCAAGGGCTATATTTTCAAGATGCAAAATGGTCCCAGGTTACCTGTGCTCATCTCTCAGTGGCTTACCCACACTCAGAGGGAAACATCCACCACGCCACCCAGGCCACGAGGCTACACCTTTCTGCCCCACTGTACTCAGGGCCTATTGCCTTCCCCTTCCTCTCTTCATTCTAGCCACACTGGCTTTCAGTTCGTCAGCTAGGCCATGCTCTCTTCTGCCCCAGGGCCTAGTACCGTCTGCTGCCTCCACCTGGTATGTGCCGCCTGCCCCTTCCCAGTCTTAGTTAACTCATACTCATTGTCACGTCTTCTGGCGAACTTCTCTTCTCCTGGTCGGACAGCAGAAGGCATATTCACCTTTCTATAAGACACACATGTGGCCTTGGGAAGGGCTGGGAATGTAGGTGGGTGAGGAGGAAGACTTTTCACTGTAATACTCCTGAGTTTTTGAACATGAATACATAACCAATTCAAAAATATATAAAAACATAAAAATAAAAATAACATCCACTAAGTCATACTGCTCATAAAATCAGGTTCCTTTCCCCCAGAGCAGTCCCTGACTTGGGATGCACACCTGTGTGATACTCTGGCTTGTATCTGCACTCCTCAGCGACACAGTCTGCATCTGCTCTTGCTCACCATTGCCTTTTCCACCCCTATCCCTGCACTTGGCCTGGAGAACAATCAGCTACTGGTTATGTTAATGTTTCTGCATGCAGTTTTGGAAAAAACTCTCAGTAGTGCAGCTGTGCTAGTGTTGGCCTCTACTACAGACTTTTAGCCTTTGTGTAAGACTTCCTCTACCTTTAAAAATAGGATGAAAACTCTAGACACCCCCCACCCCGCCACCAAAAAAGAAGGGTACACATGATTTGTGGACATTTCAGGACCACATGAACACACTGCTGGTCCCAGGTTAAGGATGGTCCCGGCTATCCAGCCTGGCAAATGCTTAAAAGATGGGAGGTCTAGGGGGAGTTCTTCCAAGAGCCAGGGCCAGGAAGGCTGGGCCCACAGACTTGCATGGCTGGGGTGGGTATTTGAGACCCTCATGTCTCTCCTGCAGCTGAGGAAGTCAGCTGGGCCTGGAACAGCTGTATGGCCTGCCATGCTGCTGAGAGACATGAGGCCTCTCTGCCCGCTGGTCTCTGCTGGCCTTGCTTTCCCATGTGCCCCAACTGGCCTCTTGCCCTGCTGGAGTGCTCGGTGTCTGTAGTGTGGCCACGGAGAAAGGAGCAGAGTAAGCAACGGGCCTCTTTAGGCAAATAAGCTTCCTCTCTGTCAGGCTGGAGGATGTTTTTTCAATCCTGAAGCTTGAGATGAAAGCCCCACCTCTTCCCCTGTGCACGTTTCCTGTAAATTGTCAAGGGTGGTAGGCAGGCAAGCAGTGCAAGTGTGACTGTTCCCTTACAGCATGATTTGTCCTTCGGATCTAACTGAAGTTTGCATTCTGAAGAAAAGGCACAGTACATGGTCTTCATGTGCAGACTTCATCATCAAGCCCACTTCTGTCTCAAAAGATGGGAACAACCAGTCTTATGCTGCCTTAACTGCCCCATGGCCTCTGGTCCAAAGGGAGGCTGCTGTGCCACGTCCTGAGGTCCTTGTGCTATGTTCTGCACCCCTCTGAGGTTTCCTCCTGGGCCTAGGCTGTGTCTGTGCCACACAGCAGCTGCAGACTTGCAGAGCTGCATCCTGAAGTGGCAACAGGGACAAGAGAAAATGGAGCTCATGTCCCTCCACTACCTCTGTCCTCCTCCCCCATGCAAGGATCCTCTGAGTTTGTCTATCTTTCTCTATAACTGCAGTTTTCAAACTTCTGGGTCTCAGTTTTGCAGTTGCTATGGTTTGAATATGAGTCCCCCTAAACTGTTATGTTGGAAGCGAAGAGCCAAGTGACAGGATTACAGGGAGGGGCTTTACGAGGTAAGTCATCAGGGAAGAGCCTACAGGAACCGAACAGGTAGCCTTCGCAATGGGGAGGTGGGAGCTCCCTGGCCATTTTCCCTTCTGCTTTCTACCGTGTGAGGGAAAGGGCAGCAGGGCACCACCTGGAAAACAAAAACCTGCACCAGAAACAGAACCTACTGGCACTGTGTTCTTCAGTCTCTCAGACTCCAGAACTGTGAGAAATAAATTTTTGGTCTTCATAAATATCTGGTATGAGGTACTTTTTATAACAATGTGAACTAAGACCATACTCTTAAAAATTGAGGCCCCAGCCAGGCCTGATGGCATATGCCTGTAATCCCAGTATTTTGGGAGGCTAAGGCAGGAGAACAGTGAATTCAAACTCAGTCTGGGCAATTTAGCAACTTAGGGAGATCCTGTCTCAAAATAAAAAAATTTGAAAAGGTCTGAGATATAGCTCTGGAGATGAGATACAGTGTGAAGGTCTTAGGTTCAATTCCTAGTGCTGCTAAAAAAAATTGAGGTCTCAAAGCCCCAAAGATCGATGGTAGCCACACAACATAGAAGGAGAAGGACAAAGAGTAATGCTATTTGATTTCAAAACTTACTATAAAGCTGCAGGAATCAACATGGTGTAGTATTGGGGGAAGAATAAATACACAGGCCCCTGAAACAGAAAAAGGATCCCAGAAATACTATATTTCTCCAAAAATAAGATCTAACCAGAAAATAACCCCGTCCATGATTTTTCAGGATGCTCATAATAGAAGCCCAACTCCCTAAATAAGACTCAGTTAAGATCATCAGTCAGATGGACACATCTAGTAGATCTCTTGCAACACATGACAGATTAATTGAATTACAAAATAACATTAACATATAACTAAATATAAATATTATTGATATTAACACTTAAATGATAATATAAATGATAATCAAGCATTTATAAATACCCAAGCAGACACTTTTGGAGGAGAGTCACTATCTACGTAAACAGATGAACTCAAGACTTACTGCTGATGATGTCACAGCACAGACACAATGCATGACTTACGTCTGCACTTGATAACGGACAGACACGGTTTTGTTTAAGAGGAATCTCATGTGTTATAATGATGCATCACGAGCAGGCTGTGTGCTCAGGAAGTGCTCATTAAGGAGAGCTCTGTTGCTGGCTGTGAGGGGTTGGGAGGGATGGGGCCAATGGTTCTACAGGAAATGGAGTTACAAGAAATTCAGGCCAGGAGTTGGGGTTTGAGAGTTATGAAGATATTCCCGAAGAAAACGATGTGACTGTACATGAATAAATATAGATTTTTGTACATGAGTAAATAAGTGTAGATTGTTATACATGAACAAATCTAGGTTTTTGTATATGAAAAAATAAGCCATCCCCTGAAAATAAGCCCTATTGTGTCTTTTGGAGCAAAAATTAATGTAAAACTCAGTCTTATTTTCAGGGAAATATTGTGCCCCACATAAACACTATTAAATGACCCTTGGCAATGCAACAAAAGCAGCAATACCCAATGATGCAAAGATAGTGTTTTCAACAAATGTTAGAACTGGACATCACGGGAAAACACCTAGACACAGACCTCACAACTTTTACAAAAATTACCTCAAAATGAATCACTTAGCACAAATGTACAGAGCAAAAACTATGAAAGTCCTAGAAGATACGTAGGAGAAAAATCTAGGTAACCTTGAGTTTGACAATGACTGTGAAAACACAGCATCAAATGCATGATCTGTGACAGAAAGAATGGATAAGCTGGATGTCTACTCAGTGTGCTGGGAACCAAACTTCACCCTAAATAAAGTCTATTTTTTAAAAAATGAGGACGTGTGAGGCTTTTTATGTGAGTTAAATTCTATGACATTTACCATCTCTGAGATTAAAATTAAGGAATTTAAAAATATCTTTAATTAACTTCAACATAATAGTAAGCCCATAACATGTTAGCATAAATATTTTTATGAAAAAACTTCTCAAATGAGAAAACAACCAGCAGGCAGAGCAGCACTGCTCTCCCTGTCCGTATGTCTCTTAACGTCTGCCTCAACAGCGAGCCGAGGGTGCCTGTCTGCTCCAGCATCACACATCACCCACTTCTAGCAAACGCCTCCATGCCTTCAAAGAAGAGGAGCAAAGAGGCAGACGATGTCTTAGCAGCGTTATGAGAATTATTCTGACCA